TATGCAATATCTGGCCGTGTATGTGCAAGATAAATGAGTTTTCCAACCWGTCTTKGRAACATCTCCTTGTCTACACTTGCATTCTCGCTGGCTTCTCCAAGTTTATGATTGGGATCAGTTACCTAGATGGTTCCCAATTAAAAAAAAAAAAACGGCCAAAAACTATTGAACATGTCAATGAATCAACAATTCAACCACTTAGGTCAATGAATCATTGTCCGATTTAACAGTTTTTGGCCAAGAACAGGATCAACGAGTCAATGGGTCGATAGTCCTTCGCAGGGCCCCTCCGCTAGTCTAATTGTTGATCAAGTTAATTGTTTTTGTTTTTTGTGCAACAAAGTGGTTTGGATTGCATATTAAAATATTTGTTTGGATGACAAGCCAATCAATTTGATTGTTCGATTCAACCACAAGATGAAAACATTGATATAAACTAAAAATAAGAAGTTTAAACCATACTTTAAGTTGAAAGGTAACAAATCCACTAGTATGCCATGCTTCAATTAGATGACTTTGTTACATAAGTTTTGATGAAAAATGCTGAAATTTTATGACTAGAATAAACATAAGCTTGAAGGACATTTGTATAATAATAATTCATGGTTTTATAAACAAGAGTTATTTTATTAGTGATGAAATATAATGCAAAATTTAAAATTGACTTAAAAAGTAAAACCTAGAGCTCTGATACCATGTTTTGGAATGGCAGAATACTGATGTATTTCATTCTATTGCCAATCGGCATATTTATACAGTAAGTTGCTGCAATAAATAGAAAGAAGAAAAAAAAATAGAAAGAAAAGAAAATAGAAAGTAGAAAAATAGAAAGAAAAGAAAATAGAAAGTACAAGAATATAAAGAAGGAAATAGAAAGAAAACTTTCTAAATCAATCCTTCCACAATCCTAGGAATATATACAAGTCTATTTTTACACAACTACCAAATATAGGTCTGCACCAGTAACCCCACGTTTCCAACAGTTTTCTTACTTCAAACAAAAATAGCATTGTCCAGAGCTGGAGCGGAAGTGGAAGCTTCTTCGCCTAGGAGGAAAATTGGCTCCTTCTGTATCCTAAACCGGATGAGAGGGAGAAACTTGGATTCTTCGTAAATCTCTCCTCAAGGCTGAAACTCAAAAAAAAAAAACCAATTTCATTCTTCAGCACTTCACTTCTTACAAAAAATGAGAGAGAAAAAGAGTGAGTAACGACATAAAGAAAACCTACTGGATTCGAAGTTTCAGTGATCTACGCAAATGGGGTTAAAATGTTAGATCTGGACATGGATGCATGCTCGTGGAGAGTGTGATTTTATTTCGGCAAAACCTTTGCCGGAGACAATGAAGAAAATGGCTGAGCTTCCAGCCGTTGAGGGGAAAAACATGGGGTTGGGGAAGAAAGAACCATGGACCGAAAAACAACAAAAAAGGGTAGAACAGGACCGCTAGAGAGAGAGATACATGGATCTTGTGTTACCTTTCAGAGAGATGGCCGGAGAAGCTACCGGAGATATGGCCGTTGGATTGCTACTTCGAAGGGAGAGGAGACTGTCGACTTCTTGCTTTTTCTTTTCTTTTCCCACCGAGAAATTTTCTTAGCTTTTTCTTTTCCCACCGGGGTTGCACTGTTTTGGTGCGGTCCCGCTCACTTCATTTTGGGATCCCGCGTCCCTCTTGTTTCTCATCCCAAAATACTATTTACCAACAAACAAACACGAGAAAGGGAGAATCATTCGGGAATATTCCCTTTTCTCATCCCTTTCTCAGTAAACAAACAGACCCTAATGGTTCCTTTCCGTGAGAATTATGGCATTGGAGATCTGTTCTACGAGGAGAGGTGAGAGATTTGAAAATGTCCTCCCGGAGGGCAGAGGTTCTTTATTTTTAGCATGCAAGAGTTGTTTAAGGTCTCTATTTAATTCAGTAGCCCATTTAAGTCTGAAGCAGTTGTTTTGTTCAATAATTTAGGCAGATAATCATTTCTATCAGTGAAGATTTGCTAATGTTTTGCCATTCCTAGATTCTTGTTCTGGGTCAAAGGTTTGCACTGTCAAATTTTACATGTAGAATAGTGATCAACCAACAATTCATTTGAGAAGATTTATTAGTTCTTTTCTAACTATAGATTATCTTTTCCTTTGGAGATTTTTAATATTATACTTACATTGAACTAGTGATCAAGAAAATAAAGAAAATGCATTCAGAAAATGATTTTCATCTATGGCATAACAAGAGAGAGATAAGTGAATGAAAATTTTTAGCATTAGTGTGAAAATACTTATAAAATTTTGACTAAACTATGGAATATAAGGGGCTGTTTGATAACCAGCTGAAATGGCTGAACTGAATGGCTTATTGCTTTGTCTTTTAGTGAATAAGTTTTTAGGAGGCTGGTGAGCTTTTTAATGGCTGAAGCTGAAGTTAAGTTAATCACCATACCCTCTAATATTTTATTAGTTAATTATTTTATTCACTAAAAGAGAAAACAACAAGTCATTCAGTTCAGACCCTTCAGCCATTATCAACTGGACCAAATATTTGCAAGTCATCTTCCATTTGCAGCACATGTTATCACTCAGCAGTGAGCAGTCAGCACCTTATAGAGTAAATGTTAGCATGTTATGTGCAGTTGTTGCTTGAAAATATTCATCTTGGTAATTTGGTAGCTGTGATGTTGTACAGACCTATCTCCAATCTCTTACAATTCGGCTTGAGGAGATGAGAGTCAAAAGGCGTGATTCAGAGCAGTGGATGCATCATAGGTTGCTGCCACAAGAGCTCCGTGAGCGAGTTAGACGGTACGATCAGTACAAGTGGTTGGAAACACGAGGGGTGGATGAAGAGAGCTTGGTTCAGACCCTACCAAAGGACCTTAGGAGAGATATCAAGCGGCATCTTTGTTTGGCTTTGGTTAGAAGAGTAAGTTTCTTATTTCATTTTCTATCTCCCTTTGTCGGGGGAGGGGGGGTGGTCCAAGTAAAAAGGCAATTGTGAAATTTATAGGTTCTATATAACAAAGTTAAAGGGGGTCATTGCTTGGAGCAATGGTAAAATCTTAGACTGACAACTGCAACTAACATGGGTTTGACTCTGAGAGGTCTATATGCAGTGCATCCTTCCCAAGATCCTAGATAGTTGGGGCCACCATTGGTAATGATCTTTCTTGACTCCTAAAGTGTACATTTCAACCTATAACTCCCAGAGGTTAAGTTCTCATCCAGTCCACTCCCAAGACCTTGGATTGCCAGAACAAGCATATAATGGCAATCTGACAAAATTATGGTTAAAACATACCTACTAGTAACCAATAATAAGTTAGGTATCAAGAAAGTCTTTATGATATACTTGCTACATCTTAATTTATCATTACTTTACAGTGATAGATTCTAGGAGGGAAGGTCTATACATGATTAAACCATCTTAGTCTAGTTTCCCTCATCTTATCACCTATTGGAGCTACACCTAGTTACTACAAATAAGTTCATTCCTGATTCTATCCTTCCTAGTTTTCCCACTCATCCATCTCAACATTCATATTTTTGTCACACTCAATTTTTTGGACATGTCTTTTGATTGGCCAACATTCTACTCCTTACAGCATTATTAGTCTTTCAATTGTTTTATAAAACTTCCCTTTTAGCCTAAGTGATATTCACCTATCACATAAGAATCTGAATGCACCCCTCAATTTTGCCCATCTTGCTCTAGTTCTATGAGTGGCATCCTCCTCAATCTCTCCCTTGTCATGGAGTATTGAATCAAAGTAAAGCAAGAGATCATATTATATTTTGGTCTCCAATCCTAAGTGTACCTTGATTTGCACTCCTATTGATATTATTATTAAATTTGCATTGCATATATTCTACTCTACTCCTATTTACATTAAAATTTCTTGTTTCTAAGGTATTTGTCCATGATCCTTGTTAACTTCAGCACTATTAATACTATGTCAACAAACAACAAGCACCACGGGACCTCCTGAATATGTGTAATCAATTCGCCCGTGATTAGTGCAAATAAATAAGGGCATGTACTATACCAAGAAATTGTTTGGGACAAAGCAGAAATATCCATTATAGGGTGTTTCTTTTCCATCTGATCACCTGAAAGGATAAATGGAACTTTACATCTGATTTTATGTTTATTTGGTTGTGGTGGTGGTGGCAAATGTCTGCAAACTTCAGTGTGGAAGTCTCTTGCCTCTACTACCCAGACATTTATTTTTTTTTATCAATAACAGATTCATTCAATTCATTGAAATATCAAACTATTTACAGCAGGGAAGACAAAAATTCTTATCTTCCGAGTATAACTTAAACCCTCCAAAGAGAGACACAAGGAAACAAAAGAAACAATTAAGTTACAGCTTAGTCCAAAACATTGCTTCCCTTTCTATCCCTTCTTTAGCTAATCCATCCGCCAAAGAGTTAGCTGATCTCTTAACCCAACGCATCCTGATTTCCATCTCCCGCACCAGCCACCTGAATTTATGTAATTCCATAAATCGCAGTTATCTTTAATCAGCCACCCTATCACCACCTCCGAGTCCCCCTTCAATTATGAGTTTCCTAACATTCAACTCTTTGGCTTTCTAAACTCTAAATTTATTTGTCCTGACCTTAGAGTTACTCTTATTGCTGTTTGCCAGGTTCCTCTGTTTGCAAATATGGATGAGCGATTACTAGATGCCATTTGTGAGAGGTTGAAACCAAGCTTGTACACTGAGAGAACTTACATTGTCAGGGAAGGTGATCCTGTGGATGAGATGCTCTTCATCATACGGGGTCGGCTGGAGAGTGTGACTACTGATGGTGGGAGGAGTGGATTTTTTAATCGTAGTCTACTTAAAGAAGGGGATTTTTGTGGGGAGGAGCTCCTGACCTGGGCACTGGATCCCAAGGCTGCTTCAAATCTCCCATCATCTACCCGCACAGTCAAAGCTTTGTCAGAGGTTGAGGCTTTTGCCTTGATAGCAGAGGAGTTGAAATTTGTTGCCAGTCAATTTAGGCGCCTTCACAGCAGACAGGTTCAGCACACTTTCCGTTTCTACTCACAGCAATGGAGGACATGGGCTGCCTCCTTTATCCAAGCAGCATGGCGTCGGTATACCAAGAGGAAACTTGCAGAGCTTCGACGTAAAGACGAAGAAGAGTTTGATGAGGGGGATGACTGGGATGAGGAGGAGGAGGAGGAGGAGGAGGATGAGGGGGATGAGGTGGCTAGTGAGAGTACAGGTGCTGGTTCAACCCGTCTTGGTGCAACCATTTTGGCATCCCGGTTTGCAGCAAACGCTCTTCGAGGAGTCCAAAAGTTACGGAATTCAAAGAGCATTAAGGAATTGAAGCTTCAGAAGCCTCCTGAACCTGACTTCACTGTTGATTATGCATAATGAAATGTTGACGAATATTGCATGGACTCTACTCAAACTCAATGGATGAAGTGTCCAACACCGCATCAGACTTCAACAGTTATGGATTTTTAAAGGACACTTGTATATGACATTTCTTTTTTCTCCTTACTTGTACAACATGTGTATAGCAAATGTGGACAATAAATTTCATTTTTTTTTCTTGTAAAATGTTATTAATAACAAAGATAATATACCTAATTTGACAACAAATGTCATTTTTTCTTATAAAATGTTATTAGTAACAAAGATAAATTTGAAGACCTTTGTGTAGGTTTGTAATGTAGAAGTTCCACAAAATATGTACTGTTTAAATAGTTTTCGGAGGGGCCAATGGAACCGTCGATCCGTTGACTGGCCAAAAACCGTTGAATCGGTTAATGATTCATTGACTCGAGCAGTCAAATTATCGATCCGTTAATTTATTCAATAGTTTTTAGCCGTTTTTCTTATTTTTTTAATTGGGAATCATCCAGGCAATTGGTTCCGTTTATCTTAAGCTCGGTCTCTAATAAAAAATCGTTGAATAGGTCAATGATTCATTGACTCGGACAGTCAAACCGTTGATCCATTTAATGGTTTTTAGTCATTTTTTTATTTTTTTATTTTTATTGTCAAAACAGGCCATTCGTTCGATCTGGATAGTCGAACCGTTGACCCGAAAACCAGTGGCCAGAACGGTTCTGTTTTCAGGTTGAGTCACACGCTCGAATGACATAACACATATGGTATTGCTCAATGGACCTCATACACTCAATTTTTTAATTGTGAACCGTCCAGGCAACCAGTTCTGTTTTATCCCAATCCCGATCCCTAGACAAAAATCATTGAATCGGTCAACGACCCATTGACCCGAGTGGTTAAACTGTCAACCCCTTGACCCATTCAATGGTTTTTGGCTTTTTTTTTTATTTTTGTTGTTAGAACGGGTTGTCTGTTCGAACTGAACGATCGAATTGTCAACCAAAAAACAGGTGGTCAGAACGATTCCATTTTCGGGTCATATAAGTCACACGCTCGAATAACATAACATGTATGATACTGCTCAATGGACCTCACACTCAATTTTTTGCCTGTAATTTTTGTTGTCAAAATGGGTTGTCCGTTCGAACCAGATGATTGAACCGTCGACTCGAAAGTCGGTGGCCAGAATTGTTCTGTAATTTTTTGCTTGTAACTTTTTGTTGTCAAAACAGGTCATCCGTTCGAACCGAACGGGTGAACCGGTGGCGAGAACGGTTCCGTTTTCAGGTCGTATGAGTCACACGCTCGAATTACATAACACATATGATACTACTTAATTGACCTCACAAACTCAATTTTTTGCCTATAATTTTTGTTGTCAAACAAATTGTCCGTTCGAACTGGATGATCGAACTGTCGACCCGAAAACTAGTGGCCAGAATGGTTCCATAGTTTTTTGCATGTAATTTTTGTTCTCAGAATAGGCCATCCGTTCGAACAGGACGATCGAACCGTCAATTGTCAGAACGTTATTAACAACATTTATCAATAATAGTAAATAATTATACTATTTAATTAAATAATCATTAATTATAGTTTTAATAATATTATTTAGTTATTTTTAATATAACAGTAATTATTAAATTTATAAATAGGATTTACTAACAATATTCATTAAATTAATAATTACCAAAGTTAAATTAAATTAACAGTATTTATCAGTAATAGTCAATAATTATATTATTTTATTAAATAATCAATAACAATACTTTTAATAATATTTTTAATTATTTTTAATATAACAATAATTACTAAATTTATTAACAGTAATTATAATTTTAATTTAAAGTAAAATTAAGGTAAATATCTATTTATTAACAATATTTATAATAACAGTAATTATTAATTATAATCACTAATTATATATTTATTAAATTACTGGAATGATCAGTAATTATTAAAATCGGGTTACTAAATTTATTAACAGTATTTTTTAATAACAATATTTATAATTTTAATTTAAAGTAAATTAAAGTAAATATCTAATTATTAACAATATTTATGATAACAGTAATTATTAATTATAATCACTAATTATATATTTATTAAATTACTGTAATATTCAGTAATTATTAAATTATAGTAATTAATTACTATAATAATCAATAATTACTGTTATCTTATATATTAATTACTATATATATGTATATATATATAGAGAGAGAGAAATAGGAAATAGGTGCTCGCACGTGGGATCTACTCGTACGAATAAATTCCATTTCCTGGATGCAAAGAGCACCCATTTCCTATTAATATATATATATAGATAGATATATATAAGATACTTTTCTATAGATGTATCCACAAGTCATTGTTTCTTCATCTTGCCAAATCAAACTCTAGGCACTGATTCTCAGGACTGTCCATGTTACATAATTTTGTGTAAAGCATATAAATCATTTAAGGTTAGATAAAATATATTATTTTTATAATTTTCAATTCTTATTAAATTTTTTGGGAAGTTTAAAAATTAAATTATTTATTTTAATTTTTATAATTATAATTTTTAATTTTTATTAAAATTATAAAACAATCAAAAAGTAATCAATATACGGTTTCATCAACTAGTCACCGATGTGTTTCCATATTGGTGCATATCAAACTGTATCTATTGATATGATGCGATATGGCTCGATATGAGAGTGTATCATGTCAATAAATACAACTCATGGGATACGTACGTGTTATATCATATATCCATGATCATGGATACGGATTTAACATGATAGTAAATAGTTTTTCCTATGTGGAATAACATGATAGTAAATAGTTTTTCCTATGTGGAACTGTAACAGAAACCATATTATACACCATTGTAAAATTTAGATTTACATTTGCAAGCACTACTCCACTATTCTGATCNCCCCCCCCCCCCCCCACCCCAAAAAAAAAGAAAGGAAATGGGAGGTATTATATTCTTTGAATTAGAATTCTCTTTCGTTGTATTGAGAATCTATAGTGTAAGAATGTGTTGGCATTTGTAATCCTTTTGTATTTGGGCGCCTAAATAAGGGCAATATTGCAATTTCTTCTTCCTTAATATAAATGCTTATTTTAAGGGACACACCCATATTTCAAAGCAACCTCTTCTTCTTACTCAGTATCAGAGCACTTGACTCGATTGTGGAAAAGCTTTGCTACTGGCCAATTTCTCACCCACGAGTTTTATTGTGGATTGACCCACTCTTCCATAGAATTTCTTAACAAGAGTGGCCCCATGCTTTGCAATGGGATGTTTTACCTGAAAATCTATCCCACATTTTTTATTATATATATTATTAAAAAATAAAATATTTTTTATTATACAGTATTTAATGTAATGTACATTTTTAATTGAATATGTGTATATTTTATTAAGTATTATTTTTATATAAAATTAGTACTCCTAGCATTCTAATGATTTTTTATATTGTATTTCAATTTAGAAATATTAATTTCATAAATTACTCTTAACAATTTATTAATATATTTATTATGTATATTACTAAAAACTAAAATATTGCTTCTTTGTGATTAACAACAGAGATCACCTCACTTGTTGTAGTGAGATGCATGGAATCAAAATATAGGGTGTGGACTGAAATGCACAACACCTTGCAAAATGCATATGGGAGTGTGGTGTTGTTCAATCCATAGTTCAGAACAACTACCATATTGTGGTGTGGATGAAAACACACCACCTAATTTCTCATCTACATTACAAAACACCCCCTAAGCTTATTATCACAAGAAAAAGTAAGTTGGAATTCATTATAGCCAAAGACATGAAAACCAAAGCCAAAATTGCCCATAACTATATGTTCATCTCCACTGTCAAAGATATTTGGAATAGGATTGCTACCACCTACTCCTAGGCTAAAAATACAAATAGAATATATCAGCTTCGGAAAGAGGCTTATAGTATGAATCAGGAGGAAAGAATGGTGACCATGAATTTTTCTTTTCTACAATCACTTTGGGAAGAAATGGATCACTTGAAGGCCCTAAAATGGAAGGATTCCAAATCAATGAGAAGTATTGAAAGTATATTGAGGAGAAACAAAGTCTTTGATTTCTTAACTGGCTTGAATTCTAAGTTTGATCCCACAAGGAAACATATTCTTAGTATATAAACATTGTTTCTCTTGCAACCACCTACTCACTAGTGTAAGGGGAGGAGAGTAGAAGGGTTGCTATGATGCAATCTCTAGTGATTGAGCACTCAAACTTTATGTCATCTAAAGACCCAAAAAGAGCTCAAGTACGCACATTGTCAATGAAAGTCCCAAGATGTGATATGTGAGTACTATAAAAGGCTTAAACATACCAAAGATAAATGTTAGAAACTAAATCCACTTTTGAAACCAAAGAGGTTTAAGACTAGGAAAATAGTTAATGCCCATTTGGCCATTATTGGCAATGATGTTCAGCATACTTCTATTCCACCTTCTCCGTAGGACTCTTCTAATATAATGGATAAACTCCAGAGTATCTTAATGCAACTTAAAAGGAGTGGAACACTTTCTTGTTCTTCCCCTAATAACTTATGGATTATAGATTTTAGGTCTAGTGCCCACATGACTGGTATGCCTAAATTCTTCACCTTATATAAGTTAATTCCAGTGAAAGGTAAGATTACTGTAGCTAGTGGATCTTAGATTCCAATTTCTAGTCTAGGTGAAGTTAAACTTACATACAATCTTACCTTGGGCTTTGTCCATCATGTACCTCAATTATACAAAAATCTATCATATGTTAGTTCTTTTACAAAACTTTTGACATGAGGTTGATGGAGTTTATCTTTTTTACCAAACGTTTGAACAAGGTTTTTTGTGCTAGATCGAGTCTTATCCTAATGAATAATTTAGTCTTTCAATTGTGGCATTGACATCTTGGCCATATCTTTTGGTTCCATGAAATTTTTGTCTCCAAATTTTTTAATTTTATGTTACACTTGAATCTTCAATGTCTGTGTTATTGAGGAAACTCATGATTAGTTGCACAAAAAGCACCTGGTGGTTGTGCATATACAAAAAACACTTGACACACACACACACTACAAATCTATAATATATCTCTAATATTGATCATTATGTCGCATATACTGCCCTACCCAATATTAAAAACAATTTGTTTGAACTTTATGCTATCGAAAGGGTCAATGATTCTATATTTGAGAAATAACCATCTGATGATATCAATCAGTTGAT